GGGGCTGAGACTGGGGGGGCTGAGACTGGGGAGGGCGCTCCCGCCAACGGGGGGGGCGGGGACAGAGGGACGGAGCCCACTGGCCCCGAGAAAAGGGGTCTTCGGAGCCGCGCGCCCGCGGTCCACACGTGCTTGGGCAACAGGGAGGAGGGGAGACGTGCGCGGGTGTCTCACGTCAGAGTTGACACACGTCTTCCCGCACCCTGGACGGGTGCTGCCCACAACAGGACGGAAAGGCCCTGCCCACCTCTGTTCAAGGGCACACAGTGACTCACGAGAGAAAGGGGCACAGCCGGCTCGGTGCCGGGCTGGCTGCACACGGGCTTGGAGCCGGCCCCGCAGACCCGGCCCCGCACTGACACACCGGGAGGGAAGGCCGCCATGCGCCCGGAAACCGTGTCTCGGGGGCACAGAGCACTCGGACCAAATGCCCTGACTCCGTATGACCCAAAGCCCTACCCGGCAGGAGACCCCCCCCCGGGGCACCCGGGGCCGCAGGGGCCGCCTGCTCCCCTCACCTTGGCCCACCAACTGGACAGCACGAAGTAGGTGTTCACGTTCTCCTCCCCAAACTGCTCGGCCACGTAGAGCCCCAGCGAGCCGTACTTGTCGTAGATGTTTCTTTTTGTGGCGTCCGTCAGGATGGCGTGGGCGTTGTTGATCTCCTTAAACTTGTCTGCAGCCTCTGGGTTATCGGGGTTCTTGTCAGGGTGATATTTCAAGGCAAGTTTCCTGCAAACCAAAACCATTTCTTTGTCACTTATTCCACATTCATCTGTGAGAGGGAGGGCCCGGTGCAGGAAACACTTCCCCATTACATGTCACTTCCCAACTCTCCACAGAGTTCGAGAATGTCAGCATCAGAAGAAACCTCTGCAGCCTCTCGGGGCAAAGCTCCCGGCTCTGACCTGGCCACAGAGGAGGGAGTCCCCAGGTGAGGGCTACCCTGGAGGCAGGCATGGCCAGCAGCCCACCCTTTTCCTGCTCAGAGGCAAACCCTACTGCTGACCTCTAGTGTCCTCGCAGCTTAACTGCACATTTTGCCAAATAAAGTGAGCAGCAAAGGCCTCTTCTCTCCTGTGTGTGAGAAGTACACAACGGGAAGAACACAAAGCAGGGCTGCTTGAAGGGTGTGGATCACCCAGGACTTGTGTCTCTGCAGCTTACTCCCTGAAGCCGCGGAGAAGCTCCGGCCAAAGGCTACGGGGAGGAGACTGTCATCCCCACGATGAAAGGAATAAAAGCCCCATCTGCTGAGCAGGCTCAGACCTGCTTCCCCGTGGGACTGGCTGCTCCAGGGTACACAGTGTGTATTATCTACAAAGTGTTACTTTTTTGTTGCCAAGAAAATACCAATATAAGAATTTTAAGCTATAAGGGAACACATTATGCATACAAAAATGGACCTAAGAGTTCCCAGTTACCTACAGAGTCCACTGGGGGCAGGGAGACACACAGTGGTTCCTGGTAAATGCAGATCAAACCACACAAGGTACAAGGCCTCTTACCGATAGGACTTTTTAATGTCATCTGAGGTTGCATTCTTGTCCAGCCCCAGAACATGGTATAGTGATTCCCCAGAGGTAGAGAGTGAGCGCTGTCTCTGGTCGGCCATGGTAGGCTAATCTACAAGAAAAATGCAAAGAAAACATCAAAGAGTATCGATAAAGATTCCAAGCACAGAGCTGGAGGACTTTATTCCATATGACTGTTCTATGCAAGCAATCACAACACCACTGGTGGTGGCCATGAGGTTCACAGACACAGCACATCCAACTACAACGTAAGGGGGTGTGGGGAGTGGTCCCATGTGAGGCCTAGAGGCTAAGTTTGCAATTTTGCCTGTGGAGTGCTAGACTATTGCTACACTAAGTAGACTGTAAAAAAACTGTGTTTACTGTAATCTCCAGAGCAACCTCGAAATAAAAAATCCAAACAAGTACAGTTAAAATTCTCAAAGAAAAAGGGTAATGATCTCTTTAGACTAAAAAGTCCAATAAAAAGAAGAGGTTGTCAGAATGGAGAAAGACTCAAGACCCAACTAGACACTTTAAAGACAGAGCCTCAGAACCCTTTAATCCAAGGGGCGCCTGGGTGGCTCAGTTGGTTAAGCGACTGCATTCGGCTCAGGTCATGATCCTGGAGTCCCGGGATCGAGTCCCGCATCGGGCTCCCTGCTCATCGGGGAGTGGGCTTCTCCCTCTGACCCTCCCCCCTCTCATGCTCTCTCTATCTCATTCTCTGTCTCAAATAAATAAATAAAATCTTAAAAAAAAAAAGAACCCTTTAATCCAAGTACTGACAGAATTAAAGGAGAAATGGACAACACACAGCTATAAAAATCTTAGCACCCATCTCTCAGAAACAGACAGTATGGACAAACAACAGAAAAATGGATGATCCAAAAAACACTACCAACTACCATGACCTAATTGATACATACGGGACACCCAACATCTATAAACAGTTTTTTAAAAATCACCAAGACATGTCATATATTAGACTTTAATACAAATTTCAATAAATTTTTTTTTTTTTTAAAGATTTTATTTATTTTTTAGAGAGCGAGCGAGAGAGAAACAGCATGAGAGGGGAGAGGGTCAGAGGGAGAAGCAGGCTCCCCGCCGAGCCGGGAGCCCGATGTGGGACTCGATCCCAGGACCCTGGGATCATGACCTGAGCCGAAGGCAGACGCCCAACCATCTGAGCCACCCAGGCGCCCCAAATTTCAATAAATTTAATGGACTGAAATCATGCACAGTGTGCTCCCTGACCTTAGCAGAATTAAGTTAGAAACCCAACAGTAAGATACCCAAGAAAACCTCAAGTATTTTTTTAATAAAATTTGTTTTTTGGGGGGTTTTTTTTAGATTTTGAGAGAGAGCGAGCGAGCATGAGTTGAGGGAGGGACAGAGGGAGAGAGAGAAGCAGGATCCCTGTTGAGCACGGAACCTGATGTGGGACTCGATCCCAGGATCTGAGCTAAAGTCAGATGCTTAACCGACTGAGCCACCCAGATGCCCCCAAAACCTCAAGTATTTAACATCATCCAACACACTGATAAAATAACATGTAACTCAAAGAAGAAATCAGTTATTTTCAACTGAATAGTAAAAGATAACATATTAGCCAAGACCTAAGATTCAACTTCATAACACCAGAAGCAGCAGGACAGACCCAAAGGAAATGGAAGGAAGGAAATAATAAAGAGCAGAAATCAACAAAATAAAAAACAGATAAATGATAGAGAAATTTAACTAAGCCAAAAGTTGTTCTTTGAAAACAACAACAAAACTGATCAACAGCCGGGCGCCTGGGTGGCTCAGTCGTTAAGCGTCTGCCTTCGGCTCAGGTCATGATCCCAGGGTCCTGGGACCGAGCCCCGCATCGGGCTCCCTGCTCCGCGGGAAGCCTGCTTCTCTCTCTCTCCCACTCCCCCTGCTTGTGTTCCCTCTCTCGCTGTGTCTCTCTCTGTCAAATAAATAATAAATAAAATCTTTAAAAAAAAAAAAATTGATCAACAGCCGAAAAAAGAAAAAAAAGAACAGAAATCAGTGAGGTGAGGAAGGAAAAAAAGAGGGGTCATCCCTATAGACCCTACAGGCACAAAAAAGATGATAGAGAGGGGCGCCTGGGTGGCTCAGTCGTTAAGCGTCTGTCTGCCTTCGGCTCAGGTCATGATCCCGGGGTCCTGGGATCAAGCCCTGCGTCGGGCTCTCTGCTCTGCGGGAGGCCTGCTTCTCCCTCTCCCACTCCCCCTGCTTGTGTTCCCTCTCTTGCTGTGTCTCACTCTGTCAAATAAATAAAATCTTAAAAAAAAAAAAAAAAGATGATAGAGAAAATTATGGACAAAAATTAGATGAAATAGATAAATACCTTGAAAAATACAATTTACCCAAATTAACACAGGATGAACCAGAACATCTGAATAGTCCTAAATGCGTTGCACTAATACAATTGAATCTGTAATAGAAAACTTTCCCACAAAGTTCCAGGCCCTGGAGACTTTTCTGCCAAATATCCAAGAAAGACATCAATCTTAGACAAACTTTTTCAAAAACAGAGGAGGAGGGAACTTTTCTTGTTTTTGGAGGCCAGCACGACCTCATAAAGACATTACCAAAAAATCCGTCACAAACATAGACATAAAAATCCTTAACAAAGTATTAGCAAGTTGAATCTAATTAAGTAGAAATTATCCCAAGAAGGCAAGCCTGATTTAACATTTCAAAACAAACCAATGTAATCCAGTATATTATAGAACAAATGAGATAAACCACATGGTCATCTCAAAGTTTCATCAAAGCATGAGGCAAAGTTCAACGCTAATTCATGATTTAAAAAATTCTCAGTATATTGGGAATAGAAGGGAACTTCCTCAGTCTGATAAAGGACATCTAACCAAAAACCTATAGCTGATATGCTCAGTAGTGAAATACTGAATGGTTTTCCCTTAAATCAGAATGTGACAAGGATGCCTACTCTCACCAGTTCTAGCCAACACTGTTCTAGGACCCTGAACACCGCGACAGGAAAAAAAAAATCAAAAAGACATAAAACCATCCCTATTCACAGATGACTTGGTTGTTTATACAGAAAATCCTAAGGGATCAACAAAAAACAAAAACAATGAAACAAAAAACCAACTCAACTAAAAACCAACTACAACTAATTGAATTTAGCAAGGTGACAGCATATAAATATTTAAAACTATGTTTTTATTCGAGAGCAGTAAACAACTGGAAAATATTATTACATACAGATTTCATTTACAGCAGCATCCAAAACCATAGAATTATTTAGGGAAAATTTTTTTTTTAATTTTTTTTTTTAATTTATTTATTCATGAGAGTCAGAGAGACAGAGAGAGGCAGCGGCAGAGGGAGAAGCAGGCTCTCCGCCTAGCAGGGAGCCCGATGCGGGACTCGATCCCAGGACCCTGGGATCGTGACCTGAGCCGAAGACAGATGCTTAACCA